GCAGTGAATTAAAGTGTTTTTGTTTAAATATGGAATTTACAGTATTACTTAACGAGTTCATATTTTAATTTTCCATGGGACTTTTTTCTGTTTAAATTTATGTTTAGTGAAAACTGTGAGGTCTGTGTATCTTCCATTGTTGTTTTCATTTGATGAGGAAGTTTTGTTCTGTTTTTGGCTAGTTGAAAGAGCACAGTAGTAATATCCATTGTTCCCTCTAAGCTGAGTTAGTGTGAGCTAGCTCACCATTTTTTAGCCTCTGGCTCACACATTTTAGTCTTTGCTCAGGAAGGATGGCTCCAGAGCACACTAATTTATATGCTGTGGCCAACTCGCTCGCTCACAACTTTAATGCCAGTTGCTCCCAAAGTGGAATTTTTGCCCACAGGGCTCCACAGCTTAGAGGGAACATTGGTAATATCCATATCCTTTTCTGCCACCATTTGGATGTTTATTATTGAGAGAGCATGCCATTCACACTTGACAGGTCTCTCCGAGTGTGTTTTGTTTCTTTGGGTTTTTTGCTGTTTCAACTTGGCAACTATTTGTTTAGAATTTAAAAAGTGAAGCTTGAATGGTCTAAGAATCTTCCCTCCTTGCTTTTGAAATGCCACCTTTTGCCAGCTCTCTGCAAGGCTTCATTCTACACCTAATTGGTCTCCAGGCACTTTATGCATCCAAAAAGATTCTCTGGTGGCCATTGCATTCCTCTCATCTCTTCCCTACTGAAATGTTAAGACTACTGTATCTCTGACAGCTTTCCTCAACCCCCAGCATTCTCTACTTTGCCTTGTTTCTCTGAACATCTAAGGATGATTCACTGTGACTCGCCTAGGGCTTGAGCTCTTGTCCCATTGCTCTTTTGTGTCCTAGTGAGAGCTTTATCTGTGGCCCTTGTTCTCCATTCATTGTTATTCCACACCAGTTAGGCTAGGCTCACCAGTTCCTGGCTGTGAGATTGATTTCTATTATAGAATGCATCTGTATGGAATACTTGGGGAACAGTGCAGTAAGTGATGCCTCTAAGCTGTGTAAGTTATCTGAACAAGTGAGCAGTGACTCACAAAAGCTCATATCCTGCCACATATTTTGTTAGTCTTTAAGGTGCTACTGGATTCTTGCTCTTTTCTAAGTTATGACAATGATCCTATATTGTTCCCTCAGTCATGTATATAGCAGTCAAGCATCATGTGGTTCAGAATCTTCCTATGACACAGTCTGTTTAGAGAAGGTCCCACAAATCAGCATGGATTCTGTAGGGGAAGATCTTGTCTCACTAACCTTTTAGAGTTCTTTGAGGGGATGAAAAAAACATGTGGACAAGGGTGACCCAGGCGATGTTGTTTACCTTGACTTCCAGAAAGATTTTGATAAAGTTCCTCATCAAAGGCTGCTAAGTAAACTCAGCAGTCATGGGATAAGAGGACAAGTCCTCTTGTGGATTAAAAACTGGTTAATTAACAGGAAACAGAGAGTGAGTATAAATGGGCAATACTCATAGTGGAAGGTGGTAAGCAGTGGGGTATCATAGGGCTCAGTACTAGATCCAGTGCTTTTTAACTTGTTCATTAATGATTTGGAGTTGGGAATAAGCAGTGAAGTGACTAAGTTTGTGGATGAAACTAACTTCTTCAGTGCAGTCAGAACCAGGAGGACTAAGGAGCTCCAGAGGGATCTGCCGAGGCTGGGCAAGTTGGCATCAACGTGGCAATGAGGTTCAACGTGGGCAAGTGCAAAGTAATGCACATTGGAGCCAAAAATCTTAACTATAAATATACATTGGTGGGGTCAGAACTGGTGGTAACTGACCAGATTTTGGAGTCTTGGTAGCGAAGTCAACTGAAAATGTCAACTCAGTGTGCAGTTGCAATATATATACACACACACACACACACACACACAAATACTGTGCTGGGGGTTATCAGGAAGGGGACTGAAAACAAATCAGCCAGTATTGTAATGCCTTTGTATAAATCTATGGTGTGGCCTCATTTGGAGTACTGTGTACAGTTCTGGTCACCATATCTCAAAAAGATTAGAAAAGGTGCAGAAAAGGGCAACTAAAATGATTAAGGGGATGAAACACCTTCCTTATGAAAAAAGGTTAAAAAGGTTAGGGCTTTTTAAAACTTGTAGAAATGATGATTGAGGGGTGACTTGATAGAGGTTTACAAAATTATGCATGGGATAGAGAGGGTAGAGAAAGAAGTACTTTCCCCCCTTTCTTACAATGAAAGAACTCATGGACACTCAATGAAATTAATGAGCAGTAAGCTTAGCACATCTTCACCCAAAGAGTAACACATGGAATTCACTGTGGCAGGAAGTTACAGCAGCTACAAACATAGCTACCTTCAAGAGGGGATTGGATAAACACATGAAGCAGAATTCCATCAATGGCTATTAGCCACAAGGTATAGATGGTACACTATGTCTGAGGCAGTAATGCTCTGTGATCGGGGGGGGGGGGGCCCCGGTTGGCACAGTTGGAGGGCTTCTGGAGTTCTGCCCTTGCTGGTGGACCTTCTGATGGAACCTGGGTTTTGGCCACTGTGTGTTGTTGGACTGGATGGGCCATTAGCCTGATCCAACATGTCTTCTCTTATGTCCACTGTTATGTAATGAGCTTGAAGGAAGTTCATGTGGGCATAGTATAAGGCAGAGTTGTTGAACTCATTTGTTATGAGGGCTGGATCTGACATAAATGTCACTTTGTCTGGTGGGGCCATGTATGCCATAAAATGTGACACAAGGTACTGTAGATATAAACTTTATAAAGATGATTTCAGGTACCAAATGGCAGTCTTGATTGGGTTAGGTGTGATATGCAGAGGGGTAGGAGGGGTGGAGATATCAGCATTGGTAATGATACAGGAAACCTAGGAGGATTCAGTCCAGCAGGATGCAAAGAATAAATGGAAATAATTCTGAAGAACTGAGCAGTGACTCACGAAAGCTCATACTCTACCACAAATTTTGTTAGTCTTTAAGGTGCTACTGGACTCTTACTCTTTCTACAACTTTCAAAAACCATTGTAACCTTCCAGGACATTCTGTTGCTGACCTAAGAGTAGCAGTTCTCTAACAAAGGGATTTCAAAGGGAGATTAGAAAGAGAGACTTGCTGAATCACAACTAATAATGAAGCTCAAGACAATGCATCCTCCTGGGCTGAATTGAGACTTGGGTTTCTTCTCTCATTACCGATGCCAGCTATTGTCATTTGGCATCTGAAATCACACTCCAAGGTACAAGGATACATGGATTCATAATCTGGTTGTATTTGAAGAAGTGAACAGTGATTCATGAAAGCTCATGCCCTGCCACAGATTTTGTTAGTTGTTAAGATGCTACTGGACTCTTGCTCGCTTCCACTAATAAAGAATGCAAGCTGTGCTGTTAGGTTTCTTCCCTCCAATGTGTTAGAACTGGAAAGGGGGATATCTCCAAGTGCCATGGGACACACACACACCCCTCTCTCTCTGACATGCTCTCTCTGGCTCTTGCCTTCCCTTCCTCTCTCCCTCTGAAGAAGTGTGCATGCACACAAAAGCTTATACCTGGAATAAAAAGTTGTTGGTCTTAAAGGTGCCATGGGATTCTCTCCCCCTTCCTTCCTCCCCAGAGGAGGAGGGGGAGGAGCCCTCAATCAAAGGAAAGGAGGCTTGGCTTTCTTTCTCTCCCCTGGAAGCAGGAAGCTAGAGAGAGCTGGGCAAAGTGAGCTGCGATGCAGGAAGCAGAAGGGAGCCAGTTCTGGCCCGCGGGCTGTATGTTTGACACCCCTGCTATAAGGTAACCTATGCTTTGTGCTGATAACTTCTCTAGCTTGTGGCTGTTCTGAGACACCAGAGCCTTCCACTGTTTTGCATGGCTGCCTTAGACCTGTAAGCTGCTGCAGAAGTGGAACTCCTGCAGTAGAGAATGTTGGGTGTTACCATCTGTTTTTGGTTTTCCAGTAGTCACTAGACTTATTCCTTAAATTATCACACAATCACCAAGGGAAAACTTTATTTTTTTATTTATATTATTTATAGTCCACCTTTCCTACTGAGATTCAAGGTGGATTACTCTTAAATTTTCTACGAAATTCTGGCTCTATACTATTCAGCCAGCATTGTTCAAATGTAATTGTTAATCATTTGATCTTATGAAGCATGAATAGAGAAAGTATACATTTTTCCTGCCCTCTCCCCATACTAGCACAAAAGGTTTAGGGGGTTGTCAGCACAGAGCAGGGTTGTAGCACAGGAGGATGGAGCTCGAGAGAAAATCAAAAGAAAGGACCTTCCTGAAGAAAGCAAGGACTCACATTAGAGAGTGTCTGTCTGTCTCTCTGTCAGCTTCTGGTGATTCTCTGTTCTTATTATATCCATGAACTTATTCCCTTCACAGTTCATGGACTGTAACTCAGTCACACTAAGCTGCTTTCCTGCATTTATGGCTGCCTACCCTCTTAAATGTGTAGTGCATTTATATATTTTGTGATATTTTCACCCTCTTCAGTTGTAGTGATTCCTGCTTTCCTTATAGGTAAGAATTTTTAATTAATAACAGCGCATAAAAAGCACAGGGTAGTCAATACAGATGTAAAAAGCAACACATTTCACATTATCCTGCTACCTCTTTCCCATATTTTTCATAACTTACAGTGTTCCTTTTGTTTTACAGCCAAAAGATTTAAGTGCTGTAATTCAGCATGAGGGATGTTTCGGTAGTTCAGTTTAGCATCTGCCATGGCATTATTTCATCTTGTTTTGGTAATGCATAAACCACATTTGCTGGGAGTTGGCTAAACCAGTATTGCAGTTTAATTATACACTATCTGTTTTTGTTTTTCTTTTTTTGACTGCACTGATTAGCGTTTAATTGAATGGGTGCAGGACACTTACAATCTAGTGAAATGTGGCTTGTGAGGAAAATGTCCAGCTTGCTTTGTGTGAAGGGCAGAGGGATCAGCACCTGATGAAGGTTTCTTTTTTTGTTTCTTGTTCTTTGTTCTAGTGCTGTTACAGCTGGCCTGTGAAGCTTTACCAAATGACATGACCTTGTCTCTGGCTTACCTTCTTGCCTTGCCACAGGTATGTATACAGCTGAGGCAAACATTCAGCAGGCCAACCTGTATCTCTCAGTTTAGAACAGGTATGCCCAGAGCTCTCAGCTACCAGCATACAGCAGTATAAAACGAACAATAAAAACCGTATTCTCCAAAGCAGGTGAAATCATAAATATAAATCAGGGCAGAGCAACAAAACCAGATAAGATCCACATGACTAATGGGATAGGCAATGACCTTCAGTCACAGATCTCAAATATGTGGGGTGAACAGAGGTCATTTCGGGGGGATCGCAGTTCCCCCAGGTGAGGTACGGGGGGCGGGGCACATGATGAAGCCCCGCCCCCTGCTTCCGGCCGCCCCGCTTCCGGCCCTCATTCAGCCAGGAGGAGGCAGGAGAAGAGGGAGGGTAAGTTGCTTCCTCCCCGCCTCTCCCCACCCCTGCCTGCCTGGAGCCAGGGAGGGCCTTGGCGGGGCTTCCTCGCACTCCCGCCGGCCTTGCAGGTCCACCGCCGGGCCCCTGATGTCAGGGGGTGTGGCATATGCTAATGAGTTATGCTAATGAGTTCCCCTAGCTCTTTTTCTACGAAACGACCCCTGGTGGTGACCATTCACCTCATTATGGCATCTCATGGCCTCTGAAGAGAATCTTATCTGTTGGGCTAGTTCATGACCTTTGGTATGTGACCTTTTAGAGATCCTGGTCCTCGGACACTTAATGCTTTAAAGGTACAAACCTGCTCTTTGAATTGTGCCTGTGGATGAGTAGACAATCAGAGTCCTGTTACCATTTTAAGCTCTCACTTATATTGCCCAGCTTCAGTCTAAATTATGCTCCTTGTGAGGCTTGAATTCAGTCCAAGTCAAGAAGAACCTGGATTTCTACATTGCTGTACTGGAAGAAAACCATCAAAGAGATTATGTAAAAAGATGGTAGAGGAAGAAACTTCATGTAAAATATGATTTTTGTCAGCAGTAACTCCAGTTTGTATAGCTGTCTTCTCCTGTGGTAGACCATTAAACCTTCTAGTTCAGATTTATCTAATTTGTCATCTTATGGCTCTCCAGGATCTCAGGCTCCAAAACCCTCTGTTATAAGAGTGTTCAGCTGGAGATATACCAGGAATTGAACATGGGACTTTCTGCATGCAGAGCATATGGTTTAACACTGAGCTATGCCCCCTCTGAAATCACCCCCTGTAGGATGATTACAGGCTCCAAGCCCATGCTATTCAGTAACTACAGCACAGCTTTGAAAAGACACCTGAATACTTGATGCACGCTTATGTCACTTTCACAAGGACAAGTTATCAGATGTTTACCAAATACAGAGTTTGTTCACCTCAGTGTCCAATGTTACCCTCTTCTAGAGGCTGTTTTTATAAGCCTAGCTTATCACTCTGAGACAGCATAAGTGACTTGAGATCACCAATGAATCAAGTGAAAGTATATTACAGAATTTCAGTATATTAACAGGATATAAATAACAGAACATAAGGAGTTGCCTTCTACAGCATCAGACTAGTGGTCTTTGTAGCACAACACTATGATCTCTGGAAATACTTTTTAAGGATCTCAGTTTTCCCAACATATGCTACCTGAGATCTTTAAACAAAAGAGATGGGGTTGTATCCAACTGAGTGCCAGTAGATGATGTTTGCCAGCACAGACCATTTTTGTAAGCAATGCCTGGACATCTCCAGAGCTGATTGTGGAGGTCATGGGGCATACACAGACAAAAAGTCACCTGATCGGCGGGGGGTGGGGGGGGTGTTGCAGTGAGGAGGGGATGCTTGATGAAATCTCACTCACTTTGCTTTTCCACCATCAAAAGTGTTGCTTGTAGAAGGGGCGAAGTTTTCTATCCTCACTGCAGGCCTCTGAGCCAACCAATAATTAACTTCATTTCTCACTGGCTGCAACCTATGGATGCCCTTCATATGCAGCTGCTGTGAAAGGGCACTTGTAGCATACCCTCACGAGTTACTGAGTATGTGAGACACTCATTTGTTTATCGGGAGGCCAGAGGGGATCAGCAGGTTGGGCTAAACTGCCAGGTGTGGCAGACCTGTGGTAAGCTAGCAGAACACCACAAGTGCTGTACATCTGGGAATCAGGTCCGTTGCACAGCTATTTCTGTCTGGTCCTCAGTGTATCTGGATGAGTGAAGGAATATCAAACCATAGTCTCTGTACATAGACAGGCTAGGAGAAGACAACACCCTTTATTTTTATTTATGTCTTCAGAGAAAATTCTAAGACAGCCCATATGGTATGGTGTATAGAGTTTCATAGCTGGACCAGGGAAACCTGAATTTAGATCACTGAACCATGAAACTCAGTGACTTTGAATCAGTCATTATCTCTACTTACCCTCATAGGGTGAATAGGAATGCCAAAAAAGGGAGGCGGGGGAGATGAGAGGACCAATGTCTATTGCTCGCCTACCTGAAGAAAAGGAGGGATATAAATATTATGTCTTCTAAATAGATGGCTTTCAAAAGTATATAACTGTGTATGGTGCTGCTTTGCACAAAGTATATTCTTTGGCACTATTTTCTCCCTAATCATCATTCTGTAGCAGCTACTAAAAAAGATGATGTGCTTGCAATTGTAATGTTCTTTTAGCTAAGCTAATTCTGTCCTATTTCTTCCTAGGTGGTAGATGCCAACAAGTGCTTTGAAAAGCAACCCCCTTCTGCGTTATCTCTCCAGCTGGCAAGTTATTACTATAGCCTGCAGATTTATACTCGTTTGGCACCATTCTTCAAGGACAAATGCCATCCACTCTACAGGGTCAGCTTTTAAAGTTTTGGGTTGTTTTTTTTTTTTTTTTTTTAAATCCATTTTCATGCAATAAAATGGCTATTCTGTTAGTCCGTTTCAGGGCATGTCTAACTTATTCCAGTGAAGGTGCATATTGTCATTTATAATCTAGTGCTGTATAAAATGACAACTACTTAATGCAATGTTTGCCAAATAGATTAATGGTCTTTAATAACTATTGCTTTGCTGTTGTTTGAAAAGGAGAACTTTCCATTTTGATAAACATCATGTAATGTTAGTATGCAGTATTTCAAAATCAGCCAGAGGATTGAAAGGTAGACTTTTAAACATCATGTAATGTTAGTATGCAGTATTTCAAAATCAGCCAGAGGATTAAAAGGTAGATGTTTTTAAAATGAAAGATTCAAAAAGGATCTGGGAAATTAGAAACCCGTCAACCTAGTCTCTGTATTAACCTTTCAAATCAAACCAGCGTGGCTTCTACAAAAAAAGGACTACCTTCCGAATATTTCAGAATTCTCTCTGAACTGCCAACAGTCATATAGATAGGGAGGATATTGTAGACACCGGGTTATATCCAATGAGATCCACTTGTGGTCAGTGTTCCCTCTAAGCTGAGTTAGTGTGAGCTAGCTTACAGTTTTTTAGCCTCCAGCTCACACATTTTTGCCTTAGCTCAGGAAGGATGGCTCCAGAGTAAACTAATTTATGCAGTAGCCAAATCGCTCACTCACAACTTTAATGCCAGCAGCTCACAAAGTAGAATTTTTGCTCACAAGACTCCACAGATTAGAGGGAGCACTGCTTGTGGTAGGACTTTCCCATACCCCTTCGCATACTGCTGCAGTTCCCCGAGCCTACTGAAATTTTGTTCCCAGAGTAGAAAGTCAGTAACAGTCTAGCTGAGAATGTGAGTGTAAGCAAAACCAGGGGTAGTTGGTGGAAATCGCCCTCCCACTTACAGAATAGGAGCCAGAGAACAGGAGTGGATGTTCTTCATCCTGAAAGTGTAGCAAATAATGTAATCCAACGATGAACTGTAGTGGAACTAGTAATATTTAACATTCCTGACACCTCTGGACTTGGATGTAAGCAGTGAGATAGCCAAGTTTGCAGATGGCTCTTCAAGGCCAAGCCAGATGTGGCACTAGAAGTTGATGGATGGAGTCTTTTCCCCCTGCAAATAGCAGCCATGCAGAAGCCCAGTCCAGAAGAGGATAAGGGTTTAATCCTGTCATCTCATAGATATTCCCAGTGTCCGACAGCCCCAAGAAGCTGCTGTTTGCCTTGCTGGGGCAAAAATAGCCAGTACCTGTTCACTAAGTGTACACTTGCCCACTAAGGCAAATGACATCATTACGGAGCAAAGAAAATAGCTTCTGGGAGCTGCATCCACAGAAACCATTCTTTTTGTTCCTGATATTCGAAATGTTGATATAGAATGTGAAAGACTCTATAAAGACCTTCTCCAGATTGAATGAATGGGCAACAACAATTCACAGTGCGAGTAAGTGCAAAGTAGTGCCTGCCTGTAGGGTTACCAGATCTAGGTTAGGAAATACCTGGAGATTTTAGAGGTGGAGCCTTGGCAGGGTATAATGCCATAGAGTCCACCCTCCAAAGCAGTCATTTTCTCCAGGGAAACTGATCCATGTCATCTGGAGATGAGTTGTAATAGTGGGACATCTCTAGGTGCCACCTAAATGTATGGTGGGAGCAAAGAATGCTCTCTTCCTCCACATAGTTATCAGGTTTTGCCTGGCGGAAGTGGGGAGAACATCACTGCTGGAGTCCTCGCTATTTAATAAAGCTGGCCGTCGATTTGGGATTACTGTCCATCTTGGGGATTTATATGCAGGATAATAGAGCACCTTAAATACTGTGATGAATTTTATTGTGGATATATAATATTGTTTTATTGTATTTTATCTATTTAATCCGGCATTAGCCGCTTGTTGGCCGCCCTGAGCCGCTTGGAAGGGCGGGATATAAATCTCAAAATAAATAAAAATTTAAAAAGGGTGTGAACTGAGTGTGCTAGCCCAAGAAATGTCCTTGTCCTTGTGATGGACAGTGTACAAAAAATGTCCATTCTGTTAGCCTGTCTGTGAAAAAAAGGCAAGTTCTGGGTTGGGGATTATTAGGGAAA